TGCGCGTCTATTTGCAACATTCTATTCAATAACGTTTATTCGTATTTCGTTACCTTTTCAAATATCCAAATCAGTTTGTCAATATTAACTAGCGAACCAGAGGATTTCTTAATGTCGTCTCTACAGTAGTCTGTTATAGATCTGAAATGTGAACAGCTCAGTTATAAATATGCTGTGGAGAGACAACTACATTATTTCTATTACAAGAAGCAACACATTTCATTTTTAAATTGATATCATACGTCAAACAAAATATCCCACCATGAGTTATTTTTCTGAAGTAATCGATGTGAATGAATTCGATCCACGTATTAATAATTATAATAGCTTCTTTCACGAAAACATTTGCCACGTCTGCAAGAAAGTAAACAATGGATCTTTTATATCATGTAAGCGGTGCAATATGATTTCTTATTGCACTATTGAACACAGATTGATGCATCGTCCACAACATATGCAGATTTGTGAAAATATAAACCGATTTTTACGAGAGAATGAAATACGTCGAGACTGTGCTTTAAGTTTAACTAATTGGATCACGTTAAGACAACAATTTCTAAGCTCAATTAAAAAATGGATTCCACGTAAGCTAAAGCCGTATGAAGAACAGATGATTCTTTTTGCAAAATCATGCTCTATTTGTCACAGACAGATTAATTTGGAACATTGCAGAACGTGTTATTCGGAATATTATTGCATTGACCACATACAGGTATTTCAAGGTTTGCACGAGCCGAAATGCCAACAGTTTATATTGTATATCAACATTAATATCTGGGTTCTTTTCAGCGAATTCACTGTTTTACAATTCACTAACATTATTCTTCGAAAAGAACCATTTAATGACATGAATACATTTTTGACAGCATATGTGCGTCCTTCCTTAAAAAGCTTACATGCACGTGAAATATATTCTAAATATTTCCATTCTGATTATGCATCAGGACCGCTAACATTATATTATGGAATGCAGAATGCTGATTTACTAGAACCACTTTCATCCTCATTTAAAATATTTGATTTTAAATACGTTATTCACGTGGTAGCACTAAGTTCCTTAGAAAAAGAGTATATAAATGCTTGGGAAATATTTGTACATCTCTTACGTGACGTAAGGGAACTAACAATTATACTAGTAGGACCAAATCTTGAGCAGGATCATTATGACATGGAACTTTGTAGTAGATGCAAAAGGGATAAAGTGCTTCATGTTGAAATTTATAGTACATTTTACCATATGTATGTGGCCGGTCCATCTTTTAAAGAACCAAATAT